AGACCAAACTCAGTTTAATGCTATGATGATAGCAGGCAGGGAATGTCTTCAGGTTAAACCAGCCATCTCAGCAAAGACCATGGTGCCAGTGTGTTCCTGCAGTGTATGGTGTGATTCCCAGTCCAGTTTGCTTTTGGTCTGGGTCTGCCCATAGGGTAACCACAGTCTGTCTGCACCATGTTTTGGAAAGACATTGCTGCCACTAGATTTTGTTGTTCTTTCCTGTGAGCTGACAGGAGCCATATAACAGTCTGATTCAGCTGTTCTGTTCTTTTCTTCAGGCTCTATTTTTCTACAATTTGCTTTGATCTTAAATAGATGGGAAAGGTGACAATGAAAGAAAACATTTCCATCAGAACAATGTCTCTTTCCAAATGCTTGTCACAACATGAAATGCAATTAAAATTGACTGAATGCCCACAGTTGGTACATAACACTTTACGCTGTGCAGTTATGGTGATTCACAGTAGCAGAGCACAGTGAACTGCGCTGGAGAATTGACACTGACTGGATCTCTGCAGCTTCTGCAAATCTGTATTGTGGTGCTGTTTCTCATCCCCCCGATGCTCTCCTCTTCTGTATGATTAATACAGTCACTAATCCAAGATTGACTTTATTCAGTCCTTTAACATCGCTTTTTCCTCCTCTGGTTTTAATTGGCTTTACACGACCAAGTTAGGTCTGTCTTAAATCTGCTATAATTTAACTTACAAAGATGCAAGAAGAACCAGCAGCTGTGAGAGCACTGTAGTAGGGAGAGGAGTATAACAAAACTGTGGGAGGGGAGGAGAATAGGTGCATGATAATCATCTCATAGTAGGGTTGGTTGCCCATGAAGGAACAGGGAAGAAGCTAAGCAAGGGGGCAACAGCTGGGAATGGAGGGGTCTGCGGAGTTTGAAGGGATGGAGCTGGGATTTCTGGTACCAAAAGTAGAGAAATCTGGTACAAACAGTCAACTAAAGGATAAGCTGCAAGTTGGGCGTGGTTTGGAGAAGGTAGGCAAAGTGTGTGAGAGAAATAGGAAGGGGTGTGTCTGCCTCCTAGGGAAAACATTTCTGTGCCTTGAAGTGGAACCCCAGAGCCCTTCTACTGCTGGGAAAGGTCTTGGGAACCAGAGCCCATTTCTCCATGTCTGTCTTTAGTTTAAGATGGCCGTGGGTTGCTGAGCATTGTCCGCTAACTCACGTAAAGAATGTTGAGAATCCCGCCAGGGTCACCCTTGGGATGGTAGTGCTGGGCACGTGATGAAATTTTGGAAGGCTTTTCAGGCGAGCTGTTTTAATAGCTTGAAAAATTCTCTTTTTCAGAGTACATATAATGGTTTCCAAGTGAGTTATTCAAAACTGTGACTTTTCTAGACTAAGTTTTCTCAGAATTTATTGGAGAACAGAAATTAGTGTTGAGCCAGCTTGGTTAAAACCTTCTCTAACTCAGCTTTTATGTCTACGGCAGATACGTGTATAGATGGGGTGTTCTGTAAAACTGTCTACTGCAGCATTTAAAGCCTTTATCTACTTTACATTCGTTATTTCACGTGCTGTCATGGGGAAGTTGATTTCTTTGGTTGTGCCCTATCTAGGCAAATAAAGTACGGGAGATAGCTTTAGATACTGCAAATTCGATTAAACAGATTGATGTTTTATAGGGAAGAGAGCAGATTCTGATACTACTTCTTTTAAAGATGCTGCCCATTTAATTAATTAATTCAATAAATTATTTCTTTCAAGGAAACTTTCTTCATTTTATTCACAGATAATTCTATTTAAGCACCTAGACTGCAAATTGTACAATTAGTGTATCTTCCTATCTCTGTAGATCTCTAGCCAAAACAAATTCTGGGGCTGACATTTTAATTTGTATTTGCATTTCAGCTCTGCCAGATGACTGCAGTTTCTTGAAGTGAACTAGACCAAAAAAACCTCATGTGAACAGGTGGCAAAAAATATACCAGACAGGCTTCTTTGCGTCGTTCTGTTCCTAAATTACCTTCTCAACAATTAATCTCTTACGATTTGATATGTACATTCTTTGCTGCATTTTCATTCACTTCTAGTGAAGATCCACTTTCTCTGATGGAGAGGCTGCCCTGTGCTGGACACCAGGTGAACACATGTACACACCTACTGCAAAGGGTGTATCTCACACATCCCTAGTAATGTACTAATTTTTCCTGGCCCACTAGTAATTTTACTAATTCAGGATCAAGAGTGGCCTTGAAGAAACACTTGTGTACATCAGAAGTTGGAAATTGCACTTGTAACAACTGAAGGTTGGAAGTTTCAGCCATGGAAGTGAGGTTTAAGAATAGGCATGGACAAAAGTAAAGTTAGGATTGATCTGAAATGGTACAACATGATCTGTACTATTATAGCAAAGATCTGAAAAGCTCTTAGTATTTAACATCCACTGAGAAGATAACTGTTCCTGAAAAATCTGATTTACTTCATACATTATGGCAGTGTTTGTGATCATCTTCATCTGAGCACCAAACAGTTGCTGTATTATTAACTTGCTGGTAAGGGGCATGGCATCGCAAAGCTCTCTGGTCTCTGAGAGCAAATGACTTGTTATGATGGAAATGTGCAACAAAGCCCAAAAAGTGGCTCAGCACTGGATCCAGTATGAGTTATTGCTCTGGGTAGCAGCACTGGTAAAGCGTGGAAACTGAACCACTGCTGTGCCATTCAAAGAGGAGGTGGGGATTCAACTCCTATAAATTTATCACTCTGTTTTGAAAAGGGGTTTAGGACTTTGGTTTGTTCTCTGTATGCCACCTAGTCGTGGTGCTCTCTGTGTCTGCACTGCCCTTTGACAGCCCAGGCCTACCACATATTCAGCATTTTTCCTTTTTTTGTTAATTTTTAACCATTCTGTAGGCTTTCCAGGTGTTCCGTCAGCTGTTGGCTCTGGCTGTGCCACAGCCGCAGCTGCCAAGCTGTTCATTGTGACTCTCTGTGCTGCTCACTTCAGGTAGAAGGTGTTCAACAAGACCTGAGAATTGCCTGTGAAATGCAAATTACTCTGCCAGGCAGGAGAGCAAAAGCAAAGCAAATGAGGGTGTCTTCTAATTAAATGTAACAAGGAGGCTAAAAAGCAACCCCTGTTAATTCCTGAACTACTTTGGCAGGAGGCAGAGAGGAAGTAGAAACAAGGGAGAAGATACCTCCCAGAACGGGGAAGAGAGAAAATCAGGGCAAAAAGGGAGGTGGCACTGCACCCTGTCCTGCATGGCCCACCTGGGCTTTGGCAAGGGCAGCTCTGCCCCACTGCTTACGCCAAGCAGCTTTGGTGTCCTCCAGCCCCTGGTGCTTGGTTTCTTGAGAGACAGTTACACAACCAGTATCTGTCTCTCATCGGTAGGCAAGTCCTTCAGATCAGACAGCGCGTTACTAGCTGCTCTGGTTTTAATATTTTCCTAATTCTTGCAGGAATATGCATGCGCCTAAGATAATTTTAGTAATATAGTTTCTGTAATTCCTTTTTATTGGTGCTATAGAGCTAAGGAAAAGCCCTACTGCCCTGGGAGCTGGTCTCACAAAGACAAATCTTCCATCAATTTATTTCAGTTTCTTTGTCTTTCAAGTGAGAATATTCTCTGGTGCATCCTAAGATTGGCTTCTTGGCAGGGTGCCTTAGCTCATGCAAGATTTCATGCTCTGCCAGGGGTGGGTGGCAGGCACACCACACCCAGCCACTGTATATGCAGCTCTCCTGGGTGTAGTTAAGCTGTACTTCATTTTGTTGCACAGACACGGCTTGTGGGAACACCAACACCAAGCAGGCTCCCCCAGGAACTCCTCCTCAGCTGCTCCAGAGCCTAGTGGTGATGGATGGGCTTCACCTTATGGATGGATGTAAATGTGTGTGTGCTACTATTCCTGGTACCTTCACATTTGCTGTTGTGAGTCTCCACTGTGGAATATGCTTTGCATGGCCAGGACTCCACTCACCCTCATTTCCACACATATTCGGGAGTGATGTGAGCACACTCCCACGCCCCCAGCCTCCCTTTCTGCATCCTCCCCGGGACTTCCCTCCTACCCAAAGCAGCAAACGACGTTTGGTGACCAGTAAAGTAACCCAGGTCAGAGAGCCCAGGTTTCAGTGGCGGTGAGGGACATCTTTTATACTGTTTTGTGTGCATGGTTTTTCCTTTTCTGCCTTTAAGATAGGAAACAATGGTGGGGTTTTTTTAAGGTGAAACTTGGCACAGTTTATAACCCCCATTCTCCCTGGGACAAGTCTCCCCTCAGCCTCCCTCATCCTCAGGCTGAGCTGTGAACCTCACTGGCAACCTCACATCCCTCTGAGGGCAAGTTGCTGAGAGTCTGGTGTAGGGAAGTTCTGTTGTGCTTCAGGGATGTTGCTCAGCAGTTACGACTCAGGGTTTCCAGTGACTGAGTGCAGGTGAACTGGAGAAATGTTTTTCTCTCAGTCTGATGGAGTTGGAAGCTGCTGGGGAGGAGGATTTGGCTGATGGTGGGCCTGTGGTAATCAGTCCAGGCAGCGCACATGGAGATTACCATCGGACAATTTTGAGTGTGAAAATTTTTAAAAATCCATGTAATATAAATCAGGAACAACTTCTTGTTGCAGATTCAAGGCTTTCAGTGAAACTTTTCAACAGGACAAAAGCCTAAAATCAGATACAAAACCAGTTTGAACAGGACTCCTAGGAAGTGGCTTATGCAACCATCTGGGACAGTGACAAATGAGCTGTTACTTCACTTACTCATGCGGTTTGATCCATTTGTCAAGCTAGAGCAGGGAACAAGAATTTCTATTAATTGTGGATGTGTAGACTTTATTATTGCAGCAAAATTATATTATATTTAGAGAGATAATGCCAGAGTTAATATAGAAAATAGCATTAAGGATTATATATTAGTTTAGCAGAACACCAGGTACCATAGAGAATTGTTATTTCATAAACATTAGCACTTGAATGGTAATGCTGGCAGTGGCAGAATTTTTTTCCTCCCCCCCGGCCCCGACTTCAGTGTTTTTGAATATGTCATGTTAGTAGTCCTGGAGACTGGGAGGCTTACTCCACCCAGAAATTGTGCAAGTGACTCCTTGTGCCTCAGTCCTAGGGAGGACAGGACTCCTTTAAGTTACTTACGTGCTCTTGGTTCTTTTCCAGTCTGTGAATAACATTGCTGAATGTCAGAGCAATGATGGGTGAGTCACCACCAACTAGACTGATACCCCTAAATTATTTCAAACAGCGAAATAAACGATGGTGAACTGATAATTGTGACTGATCTTTATAATTTTTTTCATTTGTATTAAGCATTAGTTATCTGCAATTCTAAGGTGAGGATCAGGGTATGTTGTGCCAGGTACCCTGCAGACACAAAGTTCTGCCTTAAATGTTTCAGATGATTTGGCCCTGAGGACTTGAAATATGGCTATGGCTTGGCCTGGAGCTGTGTGACTGTGAGCTGACCCTGATCTTTCGGGTGCTCTGGTCTATCTGTTGAGGAGACTGACACACAAGTGTTAACTTTTCATTTTAAATACTGTTTCTGCCTCTGATGTGACATAAACACATTGTGGGCCAAGGAAGACCTTGGTCTAATTTGCATGAATTTTATTTCCAAAGCTCATGTCCCGAGACAGATCTTCTGTATTGTTTTAAATTTTAAAATGTTTGTGTTACCTTTTGTGTGCACCCAGTGTTATGACTATTCAGAGAAATACTTAAAAGCATGAAGGGCATCACTTAAAAAGTGAAACAGATGGCTAGAGGCCCATCCTTTCTCTGCCCTCCCCCAAATGTAGGCACTGAAGTCGTTTGTTACTGTTTAAGGCAGCTGATACCAAGAGGTAGAGGAGGAGGATCCAGTATGTAACCTGTGGAGGCTGTGCCCATGGCTCTGCTGTTACCATGGTCATTGATTCCTATCACAACACCACAAGCCAGACAACCAATATTTTATAAGCTCTTTTAATTTTACAGACATTTATTCCTTTACTAACTTCAGTAGTTTGTGCGTGGTTCAAGACATCCCACCAGCAAGTCTAGATGTCAGGAGATGGGGATCTCCTGTTCCCCGGGGTGTGTCTTCCAACACTTACATACCTTGCTGTTGTAGTGGATCTGACTTGGTTCAGCTTCCATCCATTAGCTCATGTTATATCACTTTGTGTTTGATCCCTGGGCTCCTCTGACCTCTTACTATTTCATGTCACTTTTCAGCTTTCCTTGGATAAGCAAAACAATTTGCGTTCTCAAACCTCCCACTGTCCATAAAAGTTCTTTTTCTGACTCTTTCCTAGGTAAAAACAGTAAGTGTTTGTTTTTTTCAGACTATGTAAAAACATACTTTTACAAGCATGGGAACAGACTGGGTTGCAATGTTTGGGGCTTGTCTCACCTCAACTGTGCCAAACAAAAAGGCAAGACCACCCGCCATACAAGGACTCAATTTATGAAGAAGTGGTTGGAGGTACCTGCTCCAGCATTCCAAGAGCATGTTCTCCTTTGAACACCAATGCATGGATTTGACACATGGGCCCAATGTCCTCTGTTTCTGCTGGCTGGTGACAGGAAAGCACGAGTGGGAAGGGTGGACAGCCAGCAGCACTGCTGAGGGGCTGCTGGGAAGCAGCTCTCCAGCCCCTGGGGAGGAACGAGCCATATTTCTCCTTTTCTTGCTTGAAATTTAGTTGAATTTTTCATATGGGGCATTTTTTTTTTAAAAAAAAGCATGATTGGGTTTTTATCTAAAGGAGCAAGAGACCAATGTGTCACATCATCTAGAGATATCCCCTGCCAGGGCTGGGTAGCTGTGCTGAGCAAGGAGGAAAAGGGAAGAGGAGTTTGTTCGTGCTGACAAGAAAGGCTCTGTGCTACAAACCCACCCCCGAAGGGCTGGCTCACAGCAGGGGCAGGAGGTGGTGTGCCGAGGGTGCTGGGGCTGCAGCCTGTCTGGCGATGCTGCATTGCTTGTTGATGGGGCACAGCGTCTGTGTGTCTGTCTGGAAAAGGATTATCTGATCAGATCAAAGCCTTGCAGCCGCTGTGGGACTCTTATCTCAAAATGTGGCTTCAGAGTAAAAGCCTTTGGCTTTTCTCCTGCCCAGGGCTGGTTTTGGGATCTTCACACTTGCAGGGAAGCGGGGTTCAAAGCATGGTGGGAAGAGCTGCCTTCACTGTGTGCAGTGCACAGCGTTGCTGCCCCAGGGCTGGTGCCCCGCAATGTGCACAGGCACCCTGCCATTGTAGGGGTGCACAGAAACTTGTTACATGATGGCACACCATAAAATCTGGCACACTGTGTCAAGCTGCACCATTTGTCTGCCTTCTCGTATCGTCTCCGAGCTACAACCTCCTTCAGGAAATTAGTCCGGAGGGTGTCCAGACAGCAGGCACCCATGGGAGCTGAGGAAGCTCGAGGCTGTTGTCAGTATGTGAAAATGCTCTCTAAGATCTTTGTGAAGTCATGGCAATCAAGGGAGTTTCCCAGTGACTAGAAAAAAGCAATTCTTATGCCCAACTTCAAGAAGAGCAACAACAATGGAAGCTACAGGCTCTGTCCCCGAGAAGATTTTGAACCAAGTCCTGTGTAAGCTGCTTCCAGGTACACGAAGGACCAGAAGGTGATCAGGGATCACCAGTGCAGATTTAGTAAGGTCACAGTGATCTCTGTGGTGGAAAAACTGGCTGTGTGGACAAGGGAGAGCAGCAAGGCTGTTCCTTGACTTCAGCAAGGCTTTCAGGGCTGTTTCCCCATGAGATACTAGTGTCCAGACTGGGAAGTGGATGGATGGACTTACAGAGTTGGTGGAAAAAATAAGACTATCAAGCTCAAAGGGTCATTGATTTGAAGCCCAGCTGGAAGCTAGGACCAAGAGCTGCTCTTCAGAGGCTGACACTGGGGCCAGTACTGCCTAACACCGTCATCAGTAACCCGAATGCAGGACAGGATCCATGTAAGCTCACAACTGATTCCACGTTGGGAGGAGGAATGGGTAAGCAGGACGGCAGGGCTGCTGTTTACAGGGATGTTGGTAAACTGGAGGAATGGACTGACAGAAACCTTGTGAAGTTTACCAAAGACACATGCAAATTTTTACACCTAGGATTGAATAAATCCACAGTTCAGTCCAAGCTGGAAAGGTCCTGACAGACAGCAGTGGCCTGTTGAAGTGACACAATGTAGAGGTGGCATTAGCAAGAGCACAGCCAGCAGCGATTATTCTCCTTGATTTAGAGGTCTGAAAACACACCTGGAGTACTGCACTGAGTACTGTGTGGAATCCGAGTTATTTTGTAAGCAGGTTTTTGAGATTGACGCTTGGACAGAGTTTGACTTCCTCCTCATTATGAACTACTGCTCTGCCAAGGTCTAAGCCTTCCAGACCATGGTATGGGTCTCTGACTCAAGATTACTGGGGCACTGAGTGACAGAAAAAAAAAAAAAAAAAAAAAAAAAAGAAACCCAAACTAAAACAACCCCCCCTCTTATTTTATACCTTGGTCTGCCTTTCATGGACTGATGGGTAAGAGGTTGGACACAGGTGTGTCTCATTCTCCATGAGGACTGTGGCATAATTCAGGTTGGAAGGGACCTCAGGGGGTCTCTAGTCCAACCTCTGTCTCAAATCAGGGTCAGACCAGGTTTCTCAGGGCTTTATGCAGTGGAGTCTTGAAAAGCTCCAGGAAAGACTGCACAACCTCTCTGGCCAAGGTGTGCCCTTCTGCCTGAGTGTCCTGATGGGGAAGTAGGTTTTTTTTATACCTACTCTCAGTCTTACTTGTTTCACTTCTGCCCATTGTCTCTCATCATGCACCACTGAAGATCCTGGATCTGTCATCCTGGTAATCTCCCCATAGGCACTGTTAGGTCCCCATGAAGCCACCTCTTCTCCAGCCAAGCTTCCCCCAGTGTGTCCTCACAGGCTCTGGGGGAACTACCTATGACTTACCTGTACTGTCACCTTCCTTCATGGGTGTGTGTTTACAAAACAAATCCCTTAACATCAAAATGCAGCACAAGGTGATCTTGGTTTGTTGAGTAGTCTGATCTCAGTTATCTTGATGATAATTTGGGTATTGTAAAGCCTTTGTAGGATAAACCACAGATGTCTATATGTTTTATATAAATGTCAAAGCTTCCCATCAGTTCCTCTCTATTCATCTCATCTGCTAAATTTGATTTTTATAACTGGTAAGATGATGTCTTGGGCTACTGGTACCTCCAGGACTGTGCCCTTCTCTCACCACTTGTCTGGCTGCCCTCTGTCTCAAAGCCCAGGCATCAAGATTAAAACCCTTTCCTCCAGGCTAGTTCAAGCCTTGTCCCTCTCAGCTGCCCTGCTGGCTTCACAGCTTCTTGTCTCACAGTCATCTCAAATGTCATCTCCATACCTCACCAGCTACCCAGTCCTCTGATGGGAAAGCAGAGAGAAAGCAGAGATATTGAGAGGTTTCTGCATTACTTCCTGAATTCTTTTACAATCATCACTGTAGAGAGCACAAGCTCTCACATAATACACACACCAGCTCATTGCCCCATTTATTTCTGAAACACCATATCCCAGCCATCATGCTGTGCACACAAAGTGCAGTCCTGCTCTTCTACTTACACATTTGCTCTGGTTTTACCATCAGCAACAAATCCGTCATCTCTCCTGGGCTGGATTTTGTTTCTAGTTCTGGTTCTTGTAGTCAGCTGCTGCAACCCAGGGCAATTACAGTGCTTTACACAGCTGCTAGGTGGGTTTTTTTAGCTGGAGTTTTAAGGATTGTTTTTGACTCAGAAAGCTACAAATGGCCTGTGACCTTTCTGCAGGAAATAATACCGCTGCTGCAGTTGAACCAGTGGATGCTGGTTGCAAAATACCTCTTGGGCTCTGTCTTCACCAGGAAAAAAATGAGGCCATTCTTCATCTGCTTTAGCAAGTGTCTGGTAAAACTCTATTGGAGATGAGGCTTTTTGTAACTTTTAATGGGTCAAGTAAATTTTAGGCTTCTTAGAGCTTTTAACCTGATCCATTGACCATAAACTCCCAGATGCTGCATCTCTTCTTGGATTTTCACTGGTTCAGATGGGAGACCTGTCCACAATGCACAAGGGGAGGTGGTGCACAGTGCCCAAAGCTTCAAGGAATCTGTGAAGTATCTGTACCTTTCCCCCACCCTGTGATTGGAAGCCTTTCAAATTACTGGCTTTTTTACACTGTTATTTTCTTCTGCGTTGCTAGAAGGCTGAAGCCAGACTGTTTTACACTGTAAGCTTGACAACATAGTCATTTTATGTTAAACTTTACAACTGCTATGTGGTGGTGAGCTCTTCCAAATGATATAAGCTACTGCCAGGGAGACACACACAGGTTGTGTGATGGAACCTAGCTTTTTGGAGGAGTAGAAATTGTTAAAAATTTGAAGTAGATGTTAAATTCACTGTAATAATTTATTTTAGGCATTAATCCTGCAAATGCACAGTGACATAGAGCACTAGTCTTATCTGCCACATTCTCACAGCAAGCATTAGGGAAGAAGAAGGAAGAGCAGCAGATACCTCTATTTGCCACAGGTTTGACATGACCTCTTTCTGCTTCCACTGCCATCTGCTGTGAAGCACTTTATGGTGTTTGCCAAAGTTTCTGTGTCTTTAAAAATAATATTGCTACTTTATCATAAACAGCCAGAATTATGCTATATATGGCCCTGTATACCGACATCTTTACAGGTACTTAGCTGCTGCTTAGGATTTTTGCTGCTGATTTCCACCGTTGTGGTCTGAGGCCTGCTGACTTTTGTCTCAGAACAGCTTTCTAAAAGGTCACACTCTCTACACGGATATAGTATCAGGCAAGCTATTCACCGGGGAGACTTCACCTACGGCTGCAATGCAGCTGTAGCTGACGTTAAATATGGAATCCACGGATATTTTGACACATTGGAAAGACCTGTGCTTGGGGAAGTCCTTTATCGTATGATTAAGCTGTCATTTAACTGATGTAAAAAATAACTTCTAAGAAGAGGAAAAAACCAACAGTCTTTTTGCAAATGACTGCTGAAGGTGAGATGATTGAAAGGGACACAGAAGCAGCATTTTGTTCTGTTTTTAACTTGACTAAAACAAAGTGCTGCATCATTTTGTGAAGCTGCGGAAATGATGGAGATTCCACTGCTTAGATCTCTGGAGAGAGATGTGTGTGCTTAATGAATACTCATTAAAACAGCCTCTAATAGAATAAAGTAGAAGCAGGAAAATGCTAGAGTATAGTGAAAACTACTGGGCTCTGATGAATGCTTTCTCTCATCTCTGAAGAAGAATGCAACAACCATTCCTTAGTAAGACAAATTAAGTATACATGGGAAGAAAACACTGAATTGAAACCAAAAAGCTGCTGTGGGTCTGTTGTGTACATACTCCTACCAGCACAACCCAGCTGCACGTCCGCTGGACAAGTCTGGCTTATGACACATACCCATCTAGCCTGGTGACTCTCTCCTCTAGAAGATGCAGGAAACATTTGCTGTACAAGTAAAAGTCTATTCCTGCACCTGATCACAGCCTGGTATCACAAAGGGAAGGAAAATCAGCATCCCTGACCAGTGCCTTTTGCTGTCTGCCCATTACACCCTAGGCGCCCCAGGGATGTGGCGACCACGGCAGAGCCACCGCCGGAATGCTCTGTTGGCCTCCCCGTCTGATAGCAGAAACGGCCAATTTTGGCAAACGCCCTGCAGGGTGCAGAGGCAGGTCGTTGTTGCCACCTGAGGAGGGCTGCTGCTGCTTCTGGGGAAGGAGGCAGCTTGTGAGAGCAGTCCCAGGGCTGACATACAGCTGCTGAAATTGAGCCAGCCTGAAGTACCCTGTGATGGCAGGCACCAGGGTTTGCAGATCTAAGACCAGACACATCTATTGGCAAGGATGACTGTGTTTCTGTAAAGGCTGTGCACAAGCTGTGGCTGGACAGAAGGCAAACACTGTCCAGAAAGAGCATGATGAATGTAATGGATCAAACATTAAGGAGTCATGACATTTTTCTGTGTCTTGTTCCTAGAAGGGGGTGGAAAAAACCCAAATCAAACCCAACCTCAGCACAGAGAACTCCAGGGAACCTAAAATAAGCTGTTTAATTAAAAACCCCCACCACCCAGATCTGCTTTATTAGTTCTCATAGAAAGCTGTCTGAAGGGACTGGGAGTCCAGCACTGACAATAAATCCTGGAGTCTGTTTCCACAAGAAACTAGGCTGCAGAATGAGACAAAGCATCAAGGGAGAGATGAGCTGCTGCTGCGTGGCCCTGGCTCAGCACGGCATAGGCTACCCTGCCAGGCGGTGAACTCAACTGTATCTGCAGAGTACTAGAGCCAAGAGTCTGCAGGCTGTGCAGCGACCAGCCCCTCCTCTCCCCCAGGCCCCTGCCTTTTGGTCAGTGGGAGCAAAGTGGGAGCTTGCCCTTGCTTCTCTCTCAAGAGCAGTGGGTCTGTCTGATCCGCTTGGATGTCAGGGAGGAAACATTTTTCTGTTGGGTTAAACTGGCAAATAGTAATTGCTTCTTTCTGCTGCGTGATGCTCTTGGAGATGCATGGTTTGGCTAACACTGTCGTCTGTGGACGTCCTCAAACTGCTCCACTGAGAAAGGCCAGCTCTTGGAAATAGTGAAACGGGAACTGGAGGCTGCAGCAATGGATGGCATATAAGAGAGACGGGGAGAACAAGGCGGCTTCCGGGACACCAGTCACCTCTTTGTCACCCCTCTTGCAAAGGTGAAAGTGTAAGAATATCCAGGGGAGCAAGGGGAATCCTTAGGTTAGTCTGAGAGTTTTGGAATTTTCTCGCTCCCAATTAGACCTACCTAATGCGTGAAACTGGAGTTGTAAGGGCTCTCTCCCACCTTAGCTTACCCCATCCTCTGCATTCCCCTCATAAGCTGAATGGAGTGTGATGATCCTTGTTCTGGAAATAATAAAGGCATGCTTTTTAGTTTGACAGCTCAAAATGATGATGACGGCAAACTCAATGCATCTTAAAACCGTATTTATATAGTCTCTCTGTCAAGCACCATTTAAACCCCATATATCATGATAAAAAATGAAGATGAAACCAGCCCTGCTAGGCCATTGGTGGGAAGACAGTGTCCTGGTACTTCAAAATACCTTTTGGGGTCATACAAAGAATGCCCTGCATTCAAAGGCTGACACCTTTACACCTATCACAAAGTAAGGGGATTAAACACTTCAGCAGATGTGAAAGAACAAAATCCCAGTAAAATCAGCAAGCAGAAGATGCTCAAGTAAGAGCTGATTTACATGTAGCAACCAAGCGTTGGTTGTAACATGCTGTACAGCACTGGGTTTGCTCAGCTTGCATCCAAGTCAGAGGAATGCAAAGAGTAACAACCCCAGGGAGAATTTCTGTTATGAGGATGACATTTCAATTAAAAAAAAAAATCTAAAAACCCCCCAAAATTAGGTTTGAGCTGCTAGCTTTAAAAGCAATCCTAAGAGGAAAAAATGTTTAGATCCATATGATCCTAATAATTTCAAAATAACTTTAAAAGGTATGTATGAATTTGAGCTTTTTAAAAGCCTGAGTACCTGCAAATTAAATTGTCGTTTTCATATATGCCAGACTGATGATATTTCCTGTACAGTTTTCAGGGAGGAACGTAAAATATCCATTAACTGCATGGGCCTCATGCTTTGCATAGACATCAGAGATTTATGCTATAGGACAGTGGTGAGGTTGTAGATATTCTTTGATATCCTGCTATAAATAATTCATAAGAATTTAGTAAAATACGCTGCACTGTGTCCAAATGTGCATCTAACCCAGCAGCTCATCTCTGATGTGACCTACAGACACTTAAGAGAAGTACATAAGAACAGGCATGTGTACCTGGAACACTACAGCCAAGCCTCCTTGAATCAAGTAACACTGCACTACACTTTTCTAAATTTCCACTGCTTACTGTAGCATGGAAATTGAAAATTATTTGATGTCCTGACAGCTTTCAATTATTTTATTCTTGCAAATCCACTGACCATTTATTAATGGGCACAGAAGTTTTCTGTTGCGTGCTTGTTATTAAAAATTTTGCTGTTACCCTCTGCTTAGTTCCAGACAGCTGACATACCTGATATCCAACCATAGTGCATAAAGCACTATACATTTGGCAGGGGGCACAAAGGAGTTGTTACTGGGTGGTCTAAGCACTGTGCCTAACGTTCCCAGTTAATCTAAAACACTATTTTAGTAACAGTGCTGTTTCCTTAGCTTTGTGATACTGCTGGATTGCTTCGTAAGCAGGACGTTATCTGCACTGAACAAGAACACAGCCAGAATACCTACCAGTTCTGTAATGCCATTAATACTTCCACCATTCTAATAGGAATTCGTTTACAATTCTGGCTGAGTACCATTAAGTTTTGGCAGGTTTTTACTATTCTATTTATTGATTTAGTCAGCCATTTTGCCTTCTTAATGATACTTCCATCTGGGACTGCTAAGAAGACATTAGGCTGATGCCAATGCTATCAAGTGCAGAAGAGGCACCAACACAGCAAGGCGAAGATGCTTGAACCATCCATCCCTGCTGTTCCCGGGTCGTTCCTGGCCCTCCTGACTGCAGAAGCAGCTTAAACATACGTTGTATGGTCAGAACAGGTTCAGTTTATTGTCCTACTTTAAGCTCCAGCAGTTAAGACCAAAGAGATCCCCAAACAGCCCCGGCCACATCATTTCAATACTGGCTTCTCCATCAGGGGAAACATTGATTTCCCCTCCCTCTCTATTGTTTTTTCCCATTAATTTTTATTCATTTTCCAGTTTAGTAGAATGGATAGCTGATAGTTCCTAAGGGTCTATAATGTGTAATTGCAGTTCACGTTTAGTCAAGCAAAAAACATTTATCAAATACATCCTGATCACCATTGTGCTTTTGTCTTTTGGCTGTATTTTACCTGCAGAGACACAAACCAGGACTCTACCTATGCACCATGATACCAGTTTCCTCTTCTCTAGATAAAGTAGCTGGTGCCTCAATGTCTGATGTGAGGGAGAGGTGGCAAGGACAGCTGTGTCTGGTAGAAGTAAACATCACTAAGATCTCCTCCAGGATACACCTGAGCTGCAGGACTGTAGTGTCCTCCATAGTACAAAGGAAGGACCCTCACTCTCCATTTCTTACCTGGGTATCTGTCAGCCACTTGTCAATTTCTTTCAGAAGTCACATTTTCACTCGTTTTGGTACACAATAGTCAGTTTTACCATTAGAGATGTAAATCATTCCATCAATTTATATGCCTGGAATATGTGTTCGGTATTCAAGAAAACCATTCAGAAGACTTAAAATACAGATTTTTTTTTTTTTAAAAATATTTTGGAAAATGAGACAGTCCACCATTTTCTTTAGCCTGTCTATAAGAGTCAAACTGAAAAAACAGAACTCTGATCATGCATCCGATTTTGCAGTTACTTAATTGGAGGATCAGGACCAAACTTCTAAAAAAACGCCTAGGTTAACATAGTTTCTTTCAACTTTTACCTTTCCCCCTTAATGATCTCTAACTCAAATACAAAGTATTTAGATACTTTTAGCAAGGCTCAGTGCAGATCCTCTTGTACATCCATTTCGAATTTTGTTCCCCAAAACTGAGCGTGTACAATAACAAATGGCAGTGTGTCAGAAGTGCAATAGAGGTAAATTAACTTGGAAAAGAAAAGTAAACTTGGAAGGGCATCCTGGCTTTCATTTGCAAATCTACATTCAAGAATTCTTGTTATCTCTTTCACTTTTTGCACAGAACTGTAGTGCCTGGTATTTCCTTCTACAGTGTTAGTGGATGCACGGGATCTACAGAAGTACAACTGAAGTTTGCACATCTGAATTTAATCTTTTGAGTTTAGTTAATGCCATCTGCTATCTCTCTGGATTGGAACATATTTGATTTTATATTTTTAGAAAGAATATTGTTTTGTTATTTGAAACAGAATGTGAAATTCAATGAAATGAAACACACAACCATTCTTTTTTTAGAAAGGAAAATTTATTTATGGTTACATATACCACATATAAAATTAACATTTAACTGAAACATGTAATTGTTTCAATCATTTATGACTAAACACTTACAATGTTGACTACAAAACTGTACAGTTTATATTTAGTAACCGATTCTTACAGCATAGTGCAATTGTAACATTTTATAAACAAAATAATTTGTGCCTTTTTTTTTAAATAAAGTGCATTAAATTACTATCTTGTAACAACAAGAAGCTCTGTAGTTGCAATCCAAAGCTTTATTCTTAAGGGAAACTGAGGCAAAGATGTTTCACTTCCTTTTAAAATTACTTCATATACTGGCAAGCTATGGTTCAAACTTCAACCACAGTTAAATGAAAAAAATCCTTAAATTAGTATAAGAAATAACCACAGGCCTTTATGTATTAAACCAGTAATTGGTTCTCATATGAAAAGCACAACATGCAGAATTTAAAGCCATTTGGCTCCTAATGAGATGTGTAGTGTGAGAACTACTCCCATGCAACTGCTTTTGCTAAAGCTTTTAGAATTCAGCATGGCACCACACTGCAGTCTGTAGTATCAGGAGTTTACGTGAATAATATTAAGTTTCCTAGGAAAAGTTCTCTCTGAGAATTTCATGAGATAAGCATGATAAACCACAGGTTGTTTTTAACTGCATTTGGCAATAAAAAGAGTTGGGGTTTAGTTACTAAGTCTAGAAAATTACAAATGGTTCTACTAGCCTAGGGTATTCCAAATTTCATGGCCTGAAGTTAAATACAGTTTTAGGGCTTTATTTCAGAGGCACAGTTGTAACATTTTATCCTATGAAATGTCTTCTTATTTGTAAACACATTTACGATCGACTTTTGTAGGTTTTGGCGGTGACAGTAAAGCTGAGATCAGACAAAGGACAACACAACTGTAGATTTTAGCCCCAAAGAGTAAAAAGATGTAGACATACAAAATGGATAGAGGTCTAATGTGGCTCTTTCTACAACTAATGACAAAAGTAAGAATGCCCGTTTCCTTTGGTGGGCTCTAGCTGAGGCCCAACAGAAAAGTCTGTATTCTTCTCCTCCTTCATACATACATGGGGCTGCTATCAGCTTCAACGGAAAATATATTTGAGCACGTGCAAGTAACCCTAGAGACTGCCTGAGTATTTTGCTGTGTATGTAATCTAGGCAATTTACCTGCCTCTTCAGCTGCAATACCCATTCCACACTTTTGGCACAAATCACACGTACTGTTTCCACATTCTGGAAAACTGCATTTTCTTCCTATACATTTTAACCTGTGGGACCAGCCTGGGTTCAGAAGCAGACTGCTGTACATTCAGCCACACTGCTTTGGGACAGCTGCCGCGTAAAAAGGTGCTGCCTGGAACGTGCTAACTCACAGCAGCGAGTTATTCTCCTCCTCCTCGACTAAGGGAAGTCTCTGCTTACATTGAAAAGGAAATACAAAAGAAAGGAGCTTAAATTTGGTTGGAATGTGACTAAAGGCTCACTATTTTCTGTCATGTCTTCAGAAAGCTCTCTGCTGAGAGTAGAGCTCCCTTCCAAACTCAGCATGCTTTGACCCTGCAATCAACATTATAGAAAAGCCTCACTTCTGTGCCATTTTCTCATGAGCCCTCTGTGGTGGAGGCACCGAGTGCTGCTCATATATTAAGGGAGTACATTGTCTGTCAGAGGGCAACCAAAGAGCAGCAAAACTAAAACCCATGGATGGGGAGCAACTCCCCAAGCTTCATGGGGACACAAAAATACATCCCTTTCAGGATGTGGCGCTCTCAATTTTCGAAGGACCAGGTCATGTTGCTTTCATTCGCATACTATAAAATATCTCTTCCCAAAGCAATGAAAGCTGAATTCCTGATTATTTTGATGATCTTAGCAAACACTGAGGAGGAAAATTCTATGGGGCCTAGAAATAATCAATACATTATGAGCTCCATAGCTAGGCTCTAAATCTTACAGGTCCTAGTCTCTTTTCCTAGAAAGCCCCTGAAGTATGTGTATTTCACTTGCCCTTTAAAAACAAATGTCTAAGGTTTTTTTGATACTGCAATATTCCCCAGATCAGCATTAGCCCGTGCAAAATGTGCACCTGTGTCATATGACTGTGAGGACTGCTCATGATCTGTGCAGTCCTGTCACCAAAGCACCTATGAAAGAGAGAGAGAACTGGGAACAGTGTGCACAGAACATAACTGCTATATAGGCTCATGTTAGTGATAAATATCCTTCTTGTATTCTGTCAGATCTGTGGCCATGTAACACATTCCTGTAATCCCAAAGCTGACAGTGGGGTTTTGTCCAAATCAAAGATTTGGGAATTTACCTCTCTTCCAAAACCTCTGGATTGTCTTTGGTGAAATACCAATTACTTACCACTGAATCTTTCAGTGTTTGCAACATTCATACAAGCTTGGCAACGTTTTTCTTTAATCACATGAAACTGCCTAGCCAAAGAGGTTCCACTTTGACCATTACAACATCAAAGGCATAGAGCACATCCAGCATATCATACATATAAAAAGTAAATAATCATAATTATGTATATATTTAAGTATGTAATTATGCTATTTAAGTATGATAGCTCATAATAATTAAGTTAATGGCATACCAAAATACTCTAAGAAACTGTTTCTCCACTCACATGTAATATAACTAGTACTTATGTTCTTTAAGTTGAACCTGGACATAGGTATTGCCTTTTAAAAATTAGTTCATATTTTTTTTAAAAAACAAATCAATTTTGTTGACATTAATTCCTTAAAAGGGAAAGGCCACTCCATTTTCCAAGGTGGATCCTTGCAGGATGCAGTCTTCAGCATGTGCAGTTAGTATTGGCTTGCTTTTTCCTTGAAAAACTGGGACTAGGCCCCTGCTCAGACATCATGGTAGATCATATGATTCAGATCAAATGGTTTGAGAATAAAAAAAGAGCATCACCAATATAAAG